GCCCTTAGGAAGGGCTCCATGCAAACATACTCCCTGCACTGCAACTTTCTTCTACATCTTCCCTGACAAAAGAGAATCACAGAATCCCTTAGGCTGAAAAAGACCTCTGAGATCATCAAGTCCACCCTATGACAGAACAGCACCACGTCAACCAGACCATGGCACTGAGTGCCACATCCAGTGTTTCTTTAGACACCTCCATGGACTCCTTCACCTCCCTGGGCAGCCCGTTCCAATATCTAATCAGCCCCTCTGTGGAAAGATTCTTCCTAATGTCCAACCTGAAGCTCCTTAAGGTTGCAGCTTAAGTTTTTGTCCTCTTGCTGGTTGCCTGGAAGACAAGACCAATCCCCACTTGGCTACAAGCTCTCTTCAGGCAGTTGTGGAGTGGTAAGGTCACTACTGAGTCTCCTTTTCTTCAGGAGAAACACCTCCAGCTCCCTCAGGTGCTCCTCACAGGACTTGTGCTCCAGACACTTCACCACCTTTGCTGCCCCTCTCTGGACTTGCTCCAGCACCTCAATGTCCTTCCCAAACTGAGGGGCCCAGAACTGGACACAGCACTTGAGGTGTGGCCTCACCATGCCCAGCACAGGGGACAATCCCTGCCCTGCTCCTGCCAGACTCCCTGTTGCTGATCCAGGCTAGGATGCCACTGGCTGCCTTGGCCACCTGGGCACAGCTGGCTCAAGGTTACACAGGCTGCTGATCCACTGGGAGCTGCTCCTCTCAAGCACAGCCTCATGGCCCTGTCATTTCCTCATGCTCCCTGGTTCAGTCTAGGCTAAAAGGCTGCCTGGGCTTTCCTGGCACAACATCACCCCTCCTTCACGCCTCACCGACAGCACTGCTACCCTAACTCACACACTGTGAGCCCTGCTCACAGCCCCAGAGCAGGACCCTGTCCCTGAGTCACAGTGAGTAATTTCCTACTGCCCTGCACGGCTGCACAAAGCCGATTGTCCCACGGGGTCCTGCCCACTCGGCCAGGCTCCCACCCTGCCCCTGCCTCACCACATTGTTCAAGGTCTTCCTCTGTGCTCAGACCTCCACTCTCACCCCTGATTACACCATTCTTCCTCTTCCCACAGGCCACCAACTTCTCATCTAGGGGAAAAGCAAAGGCAAGAGGTACAACAAGCCTCTAACACTCCAGAAATGAGAGCAGACCGGTATGGATCTTCTAAGCCTGACAAGTAGTTTTGGTCACCCAAAGTTATAACACAGGCCCGAGTGAGACAGTATTTACACATGTGGCTCACCATCCACATTCTGCAGATAGCATCCAGGAGTCCAAGACCCCAAGACTCAGAAAATAAACCCCAATGCAGCATGGAAAACAAGAACATCAAAATAAATTCACTGCCTAAGCAGAGACAAATCACAAAGCAACAAGTGGAAGAGCTTCCAGAGAGGGTGTAAAAACTAATTGGTGGATTTTTCCAAGATCCAATCATACACACACACTACTAGCAATTTTGCTAGCTGTCAGGTGGAACCATATGTAAAACTACAGAGTTTCAAGACCCAGATGAAAAGTGAATTAACAAGTTAATTTTAAAACTGCAGGTTGTAAGACCGATGAAATCGAATCTAAAGGAAGCAATTTGGATGTAGCTCTTGCTGGAATCACAGAAGCAGCTGTAACTGTGTACACAGAACTTACACCTGAGCCTTGCTGTATCAGTGTTTGAACATGCCAAAAAACACACTGGCAGAACAACGACTGTGTCCAGCTTTAAAGCTGTAATTCAAGAACAGAATACAGAAATGCTTCTGCTGATGTAGAAAAAAAGACTAAGAGCTGCAGCCAGCCTAACAGTAGAACTTCTGAAGACTACCAGTTGAAAAAAAGGAAAATCCCAAACAAACAAAAAAATCAGCCCATACTGGAAGCAGACAATATTCAAAATTACACGGAGGACTGATTTGACTGTCTCCTCTCTCAGCAGCTCAGAATATATACAGAAGATATAAATGGATAAAAAACATCTCATGACATCCTTACTATTCCAAGCAAGTCTCATTTTTGCCCTCAAGCATTTGCTGTTTCTCCAGACTACAAAACAGACCAAACTGACTCACCTCCATCCATCTGCTCTAGATCTACTGAAAACAAAGTGTGATGAAAACCCTTTGCAGCAGGGCCTCAACTACAGAACACGCACACACACATATTTATTTTTCTTATAGTATTTAAAGTTAATTATTTATTTTTATGGAAGGATCAAAGGTCACTTCTAGGCAGAGTAACTAAAAATCACTTCCTCTAACAACCAAACGTATTATCCTTAGGAATTTCCCTGAAATGTGATGGCACCACCTTATACTGGGTTACAGAAACCAAAGATCCTTGGCCAGTAGGTTTTCTTACTGAGAAGGGAAGTGTTCAGCACGTTACAACACTGCCATTTTCACAAAACAAAAAGGTTTTCATAATTTTTTAAAAACAGCCATTCCACTCAATTATTAAGCATATTTTTCTAATGTCACAGATCTCTACTAACCTGTTGGTCTCCAAGCATCATCAGTGCTCCATTTTACAGGAGTGCTGTATCTTCCTCATGATGATGAGAAACACTTCATTGGGAAACACCTTCTAAGGACAACACAGTCCTATCTCTATCACACAGGAACTTCTCTTTTGCTGTCCTGCCTGCCCTTTTTGACCATGTGGGGCTACTGCCACCCTGCACACCTTTCCTCCCCAGCAGCACCATCAGTCTGACACCACATTCAGCATTTGCCACAAAAAGTCTATGTAAGAACACCCTCTACTCCCTCTGAAAACTAACTCTTGGTGGCCACAGGAGAAGGTGGCAACCTCATTTCAGACTTGTTTTTGCACTCCCAGATCCTCCACCTGCCACTTCCCACAGGAATAATTATGGATATTGATTGAATATTAATTTTTAACACAGGAATAATTAATAATTATGTCACAGACAGAACTGCACAAACACACAAACCCCTGCTTTTTTTGATGACACTGTACCAGCCTACCAGCACACTGGCAGCTTCTGTAGCCACTTTTTTCGGGGCAGCACCTGAGTGTAGGAATGTGCCCTTTGTTGTCAGAATGACCAAATTATCTTTTGTCTCCTTAAAAAAGAAAAAAGCTCAGAAGTTTCTCTCCTCAGTTAGGTAAAAAGACACCTCATAGGACCTTAGGGACTTCACCTCAAATTTAAGGATAGCCAATTAGACAGAAGCCAAAAAGTCCTGCCTAAGCAATTTACTAGAAAAAGAAGACAACAAAGGAACTAATCACTTTTGTGAGGTGTTTTACCAGGAGCAAGGGCATCTTACACTTAGCTCCGTTTTTCTCCGTAATGAGCTGTGTTATTTTGCCTTTTATTAAAACTTTTCTGTTTCCAACACTGCCACAGAAGCCATTCTGCTGATTTTATACCATCTGAAGTAGCTGAGCTATCTCGGGTGTGATAGAGATCTCCAAGAGCTTATAAGAGACCACTAGCTCGAAGAGACCATTCTATCACCTGAGGTTTTGCACTGGCCTGCACCACGACATCTGCAGACACCCTCAGGTGAGTGCACAGAGCACATCAGTTATGGTGGGCAGCATGACAGGAAAACAGGATTCCTATAAAAAAGCAGACCAATAAAATAAAAAAGAAAAAAACCTGCTTCAGTTCATCCTGCAAGGCTGAACACAAACACTCGCTTTCACTGACACCCCTGTGAAGAACCCAGGGCCTGCACACATTTCAGCTGGAGTTCACAGCCAGGTCTGGCGTCTGGCCCGGATCCTGCCCCGCCGTCACTTCTGGCCGAGTCCGGCTCCATCTCACAGCCCCATCACCCCAGCAGAAGAAAAGGAGAAGAGGAACAGGCTGCTTGAAGCACGCTCCGGACCCTCATTACATAATGCTAAAAATAAAGTCCGTGAGCGACCACAGCCACGCTAGGGAACAGCACCCAGAGCACGGGCACTGCGGCTGGTGGAGTGAATCGCACGAAAGGCACAAACCTCGGCTGACCACTGCTGCCCACGCAGCCCCAGCGCCGAGCACAAGGACCCACAGTCTCTAATGTCAACAGGTGTTGCGTTCTTATTCAAAATATTTATTTAGCCAGATTCCTGCTATTATTCCCAGGCCAAGACGTTCCCATAAAGCAGGGGCAAGACGGGACTGGATTCAGCGAGCTGCCTGAGAGTTCTTTTAAGAGCACAAACACTACTCCAGCGTATAAGCTAAGGAAAGAATGGCACAGTTGGAGCCTCTTGACTAATTCTCCTGTTTATATCCAAATAAGAGGGCACTGTGGAACCTCTCTCTCCCCTTGGCAAGCTGTGAATTTCACTTGGACGCAGCCAATCCCTATAGATAGGACCTTGTGGCTACCCCACAAAAGATTTTGGCCAGAAAGGGTAGCAAGGACATGCGGTTGAAAGCGGACCAGAAGCACAACAAGGGTTTGTGCGCTGACATCCCGGGGAGGACGGAGCGGAATGGAAATCAGCCTGCCCGGGCTCCAGGACGGCTCCGCGCCAGCCGCCCGCGGGACGGAGGCGGCCGGGGCCCGCAGGGACAGCGATGCCGTGGCACGAACGGCGGGGAGACCGCGATTTACAGAGCCCCAAAGAGAGCCCCAAAGCGAGCGCCGTGTGCCCCCAGCGCGGCCGCCGCCGGCAGGTCCCAGCCCGCGCCCCGTGCCCGCGGCGCCAGCGCTCGGCGGGGACCGACCCCTCGCACCCCACCGGGCCGGCCGCCCCCCGCTTGCCTTCAGCTGCGACTTGGAGACCTTCCCGCTGCGGTCGAGGTCGAGGGCGGTGAAGGCGTGCCAGATGGACTTGAGCAGCTCCTCCTTGAGCCCCACCATGGCCGGCCCGCTCCCGGCCCGCGCCCGCCGCCGCCGCTGTGCCCCGGCCTGCGCCGGCCCCGAGGGCGCGGCCCGGCCCGGCCCGGCCCCGCTGGCACCGCCCCGGCAGCAGCGTCCGGCCCCGGCGGCCCAGGAACCGGGGCAGCGGCCCGCGCCCCTCAGCGCTGCCCGGCCCTGCGGCTCGGCGTCCTCCGGCCCGCCAGGCTTCCTCTGCTGCCCCAGGTCTGCCTTTTATTCTTACTAGGAAATGCGCTCGTTTAAATGGACCAGTGCTGGATCCTGTCCCTTTCAGTTTATTTCTGATGGCTCGGTGTAACATGGGTGCATAAATTAACATTGGTCGCTTTCATGTTCTTCAGCACAGTTAAAACACTGTTCAGGGTTTTTACCTCAGATGAGATGGTAAATAAAACAATAAAAAATTGTCATTGTGACATGCTACTGGAAAGATAAAATAAGCACTACATGGTAATGCAGGCTGTCATGAATATGTCAGTGAGCCTGATACTGTTCTGTATTTCCAAATAATTCCCCCCTAGAAAACTGGGGGGTTTTGAAGAACAGGAATAGAGTTGAGTCTGTGAATGGAATTTATGAAAGCCTCAGGTCCAATGTTCCCAGCAGGGTGTACCTCACAGTAAGGAGAGCAGCTTTCCTCCTGGATTTTTTCTGCCCCACAAACAGCTTGGAAGGAAGGCTGTGCGCAGCTGGAGAGAGCGCAGTGCAATCCCAGTGCAGGGGAGAGATAAAACACCTCCTGCTCCACTGCCTCCAGAGCTGAAGCCAGGCAAAACGTGACCAAGAGGAAGGACTTGTGTTGTTGGAAGTTTTTTTGAGAGTTGTTGGGTGTTTGGGGTAGGTTTATTGCGTTAAGTCTTCTTTAATGCTGTGGGATGGGAATAAGCTCTGGTGAGGACAGCAGCTGTGCAAGGACTTCAACAGAGATTATGAAATAAATTTATGCATAATTTCTTCTGCATGTTGTAGGAAAAGAAAATTATTATTTATTATGTATGTGCTGTGATCTCAATGGTCTTTTTTCCATGTCAAAACATAGGACTCCCTATAGTTTTGGCTAAGTGCTGTGTTAGTTGGTCTGCTTAGCCAAAAATACCTCTCCAGACCGGCTTTGGGGAGAGAAATGGAATGGCCTTTTTGTACATCTTGATGGATGTCTTCAGCATTTCAGTCTGAGGAGCAAATACCATAAATCATGTCAGCAGCACAGCCAGGATCCAAACCCCAAATGCACTGGAGCCCTAGGCCCAAAGAGGAGCCACACACAGAGAGCGTCTCTGTGAGCTCACTCTGCAGAAAAGGACAATGGGGAACAAGTGAGGGATGATGGGCATGGTCTTAGATGGTACCGAACTCTCTAACACTTACTGACTGACAGAGGCTGATAAATAGGAGTCCTGCATGCACTATTTCCTGCAATTGATAGAAAATTTCACACTTTTCTGTCTCTCTGTAACCCACGTACATTGCTCTGAGCACTGAGACTTCATTCACACAACACAGCCCATGATCACTTGAGAGTTTTATTTTCATGGCTTTCACACAGAACCATTAAGATCCCTAACTCAAGACACATAATAAACAGCAGGGGAAAAAATTAGGTTTTGCCCAATTTTAGTCTTCGGCCAATTGCATCATCAGAACAAAAAAGCACTCCAAATGAAATAGTTCTGGCAGGTACAGTTTGACAACTCTTTTGTACCAGGTGGTGCTGGTTTATTGTGATTCCAGTAAGAAAGGCACTCAGATTCTAAAGTGTCACTTAAAATACCATTTCTTGCAGCCAACATTATAATGGAGAGAACAGTGTAGATAACCTTACATTCCTTCAGGAACCCTGGGCTGTCCCGCATCAACCAGGTGCAGCACATCACGCAGATCCTGCCCATGGAAAATTTACACCATTCTGGTCATTCAAGCTATTACAGGAGTTTTGTACAAGGAGACAACTCTGTACATTGTTTCATGGCCATACATAAAAAATGTTCATGCCAGAACCCTTTGCTGCCATTTTCAGATGAAGCGCAGGGCACGCGGGGATTGTCATTGCAGGTACAACGCAGGACCTGCCCCAATAATCCTGTGGGACAATCAGCGAGGGAGATTGTCCCCCGTGGGCCTGGAGGCCAGGCTGGACAGACAGCACAGCTCAGCACAGGCTGGGCAGTCTCAGACCTAACTTGCATGGACTACTGATCCTGTGGGTGCAGCAGGGCAGGTAAGCAGGCAGCAAAGCCCACTGTATGAAGTATTGCTAATTCTCATAGGTGATAAATCATAAGATTGGTTTTCTCTATGTGATGGAGACTATAATCACCCACAGATTTTTATTCTTTAGAGATATCTTTTAAAGATGTTATGGCCGCCCAGTAGCACAGTCAGTTGCCCAACACAATCTGCCTTATTCACTGAGCAAACTCTAACAGCCTTTTCTCCCTCCTTTTTCCCAAGCTTTTGCTCCATAGTTTATTCAGGACTTTGGAATCCACAGATAATTATTTGTGCTCTTTCCTCAAGATGGATACTCTGAACTAAATTATTAACATAAAAAATTATTTTGATCATATTTCCTAATGAATCTGATTTGCTAACATTGCAGATGTTACTATTACCAGAAACATCTGCCATCTTAAATACATTAGCATTTCCCCAATTAGAAGACAGCTATTCCACTTAAGAAGGAGACAACTTTTATACATGCAGATAAGTTGGTAGCTGAGCACCCACAAGGTCACCAGTAAACACAGAAGACCCTTCCTAAAGTGCATTAAAATACAGTTAGAGTCAGTGAAAAGTCACTCAGGAAAAGCAATTAATGTAGTTCACACATCAATCTTCTAATGGCAGGGACTTAATCTCTGCTTTGAACAGAGTTCAGTGATTTTCTGGCAGTTTGGATTGTTGGTAAAAAAAATAGAGTGGAAAAACAAAATGCAAACTAAATGCTCCACAAATGGTAAAAAACAATGAAACCCCATCACACCCACACATATGAAAACCAACCAACAACAAAAAAACCCCAAACAACCAATCAGTCAAACAAACAAGAAACATACAGAAAAAATTAAACACACTAAAACCCTGTGTGCTGCTTTTCATTTTCTCTTCCTTCTTTTTGCTGGCTTCTGTTAGTGCTGATTTAAATGACATGCTAAAATCCTTTGCCAGAACAGGATTTGTTTTCCACTCAGAATATAAATAGTCCCATTCAGGTCACTAGGTTAGCAGTCCATGCTTAAATGTTTCATTAAAATGAGTGGTTTACACAAGTCTCAGCTGCTCCAGCACTCGGTAGGTTAATCAAGAGGATGCTTACAAGTTGTGCATAAACCTAGTACATTGTTTTATATAACCATACTCATATTTAAATCCTCAGTGTTCTTATAGGATTGAGCTAACTGAGCAAAACCAGTTAAAGTGAAGATCATATTCAGACAAACTTGCTGTGGAAAGAAACCTTTGTTTTTTATGCTCACCCAAAATAGCTTTAACAAAGTTACAGGACTAACTGCATCCACACCCAAAGTGTGAGTTATTTTAAGGAACCCTTCTATTTCATATGCTAATCTGGATCTTTGCTTATCAAAGACTTTACATTCTGAACCTTTGAAGATAAGATTGACATGTAATGCATTAACCATTAATTAACAGCAATCACACTTAACCAAGAAACCCTTGATAGCACTACATAAACTCTAAATTGCTTGCCTGGTTCAAAAGCAAGTTCTGATGCAACTTCACATACTTCTGCTTTTCCTGAAAGTTGTCTGAGAGCTCAGCAGCTTCATTTAAAATCTGTGCTTATTCTAATTTTGTTTCCTCACCAGAGTGAAAAACATGACTGAGGGGAGGGAAGACTGGCTCTGTCTCACGGAGTGACTCAGTCTCAGGAAGGAGCTTTAGTTAGACCCTGCTGAGGCTCAGCCTGGAGGGGTCAATCACTTTTCTCTTGGTCCTCTTTGCAGAAGCTTAATTACCCCTTGTTAGCCAAATAATAAGTATTTGTCAGGGAAGTTCTAACCAGAGGAAAGATTACGCACTTGAACCGTTACTAATTTTGTTTTATGCCACTGAGTCAGTTAAACTGACATCAAGGAAAGAATTCCAGCACTTCAGTTCTCTGCTCATTGTTAGCCCAGGGAAAATCTTCCCAGCCTTGGCTGGAACAGTCATTTTCATTCTCCACAGGAAAACTAAATGGAAGCAAACAGAAATTGAAGACCGTTAAGGCAACTTTGCAGCAAACTGTGTTTCCAATATCTGCCACTTCACAGCAATGTTTCAGGAGAAAATAAAACTGAAGCAAATGCTGGGGTTTATTATCAATGTGTTAGTTTCTGAATAGACTTCTCCGGCCATAAAACATCTCCAGGAAACAGTGGGGGAGAGTGTAAAAAGCAGTAAGTATATTTGACATAATAGCATGACACAATCCTCAAGCCATCTGAGGAATTTGTCTTTTCTGCTATTTTAAAATACTTCAGTAGTTTTAGGTGAAACAAGAAGCAGCATTAGATGCTGAATCAGAATGGCAGTTTATTCTCTCCTAGGAAAAAAAAAAAGAAAAAGAAAAAAAAGAAAAATTTTCCATTCACTTCTAAGACTTTCAGAGCCATCTTTAAAGGGATTACAGCAAGGCACAACTATTTCATTATGGTTTTCTACTATTTATACACATGTGCACAATACATGCATTTTTATTTAAACTTCAGAAAACAAACATAATGTAGGGGTAAAACACAGGTTACCTTTCAGTTCCTCCCTGGTAACACACTTCTTACTCTACACTTTCAGCTGATAAGGTGTTTCTCACAGAGTTACAGGATTCACCATAGAGAACAAAATACCACAGACACCTTACCTGCAGAGAGGAAGAGGAAATTCAGTTCCATGTGTGCTGCAATATCCCATCTTTTGGAGTGGAAACTGGAAAGAGAAATAGCCAATGGAGAAAGGCATTTAAGCAAGGTTAAAGTAGAGGAAAGTCAGTCAGAATCAAGGAATCTTCAATGTTGGAAAAGAGGATCATTGGGCACTCCTGTTAACCCAGCACTGCCATGGTCACCACTAAACCATTTCCCTCAGTCCCACATCCACATATTTTTTGACTTCCAGGGATGGTGCTTCCACCACTTCTGTGGACAGCCTGTTCCACTGTCTAGCAACCTTTTCAGTGAAATTTTTCCTGATGTCCCATCTAAACCTCTACTGGAGCAGCTTGAGGTTGTTCCCCTGTTGTCCTGTCACTGTTACCTGGAGGAAGAGCCTGATCCCCACCTGGTTACAGCCTCCTTTTAAGCAGTTGCAGAGAGCAACCAGGTCTCCCCTGAGCCTCTTTTTCTGCAGGCTGAACACCCCCTCAGCTGCTCCTCACAGGACTGGACACAGCACAGCGGGACAATCCCTGCCCTGGCTCTGCTGCCCACCTGTTTATGACACAAGCCAGGATGCCCTTGGCCCTCTGGGCCACCTGGGCCCACTCTGGCTCATGTCCAGCCCCTGTGGACAGCACCCCAATCCTGTTCCCTGAGCAGCTCTCTATCCACTCTGCCCACAGCCTGCAGCACTGCCCAGGGTTGTTGTGACCCAAGGGCAGGACTGTCACTTCACCTTGTTGAACCTCATACAATGGCCTTGGCCCATCAATCCAGCCTTACCCAATGTCTACGGGATCAAAAGGAGTTTAAAATCCCATGTGCAAACACATGGATCAAATATATGAGGAGATTCTGCCCTGAATCTAAGTAGATGAGAATGGAAAGAGGCAAGAGGAAAGAGCTGCAGAGGCAGAAACATCACCTAGGGTTGGTGACACTGCTAAAGGTTGGGAATCCTAGACAAGCTGGCAGCCCGTGGCTTGGACAGGAACACTCTTTGCTGGGTTCAGAACTGGCTGCATGGCCGGGCCCAGAGAGTGGTGGTGAATGGTGCTGCATCCAGCTGGCGACCAGTCACCAGTGGTGTCCCTCAGGGATCTGTGCTGGGGCCAGTTCTGTTTAATATTTTTATTGATGACATGGATGAGGGCTTAGAGTCCTTTATTAGCAAATTTGCAGATGACACTAAGCTGGACGTGTATTGATCTTGTAGAGGGACAGAGGGCTTTGCAGAGGGACTTGGAACAGTTGGATGGATGGGCAGAATCTAATGGGATGAAGTTCAATAAGTCCAAGTGCTGAGTCCTGCACTTTGGCCACAGTAACCCCCTGCAACGATATAAGCTAGGAATGGTGTGGCTGGACAGTGCTCAGGCGGAAAGGAACCTGGGGGTGCTGGTTGACAGTCGGCTGAACATGAGCCGGCAGTGTGCCCAGGTGGCCAAGAAGGCCAATGGCATCCTGGCCAGTATCAGGAACGGTGTGGCCAGCAGGAGCAGGGAGGTCATTCTTCCCCTGTACTCAGCACTGGTGAGG